ATGGTTCATAACTCACAAGAGGCAGATCCCTGAGTGAGTCATTTAGGTCATTCCCACTTGTGTGGAAAAAATATTACATCATTGCCCTGTACTCAGTGTTCTATTTATACCATGCCAGAATTTTAAGTACATTTTGCTTTTTTTAGATGCTGTAAACAGTATTGGGGGGTTGTCTTAAAGTAAAGTTACTGCTAGGCCATAGAAGGAGCATTACTGAATCAAATATTTACAGAGTCCAGGAGCTAGAGGAGCACGCTCTCTGCTAATTTAAGCTTGCAAGGGGGGGAGACCTCTGTAGCAGAAAGAGTGGATCTGTGGCTTCTTCTTGGCTGCTATATTCTTAACCTTCTAGTTTTTGATGATTTCTTTTTTTTTTTTTTCCTCCCCCTTTTGGTTTTCATTAGAGCAGTAAATAGAGGTGGAGTATAGCTGTGAGCATGTCTGACAAATATTGGTGAGAACACCTCTAACCAAAATTGGTTCTTTTTGGTTGTGGTGATTTCTTATGGTTCATTCACAGCTTTCAATTTCAAGCATATTCCTTGCATAATTTTATGTCAAGAATAAAGTTTCTCATTCAGAATAGATTCCCTCCCACACAAGTAATTGTGCAGTTGCACCACTCTATCAATTGCTCATGTATTTTCTCCAGCTTCATATCTTGTATTACTGTTGTTTGGAGAGTGCTTTTGTCTGTCTGCTTATGTTTTCACCATGTTAAATCAGCCTCTGTGGTTTCATACTAAGACTTCCATACCGGAAATTTTTCTTGCAGTCAGTGCTACTTATTCGTTTGCAGACAGATCTTTCACAACACACTTAAACACTGATAAAGGTAGTGAATTTTTCCTCAGGTTTAACAAAGCAGAGTGACAATTATATTGAAGTTTCTTCTGATATCCTACACAGAGCTGTAATCTGCTTTACTGCAAAACACTAAGAAAAGTGTTTGTTTTGTGCTTTTCTGTACATGCATTTTTAAAAATTCTGTAGTATTGCTCTGGAGGCAACACCTTTGAGATGCAGCTTTTACCAGACCTGTAAATAGAATGAACTACACTGCCTACAGCAGGGAGGGTGTGGGTTTTTTCTTTTTTTTTTGTTTGTTTGTGGGGGTGTGTTGTGTGTGTGTGTGTATTTTTTTTTTTTTTTTTAAGATTGTATCATTGTGATTACTGCAGGGCTTTTGCCTGCATCAGAATGTTGGTTAGAGTTATTTCTCAATGTGAAAAGTTGCTGTAGGAAAGGTTTAGATGAATGTGAGATGAACAGAGGACCGCAAGGAAAGTTGTTTCATTCAGAGAATATGGGTTTAGTGCTGTTTTTGCTTACTCTGAGTCTATATTTAAACTCTTCCTAGTATAACAGGGTAAATTGAGTTTAAGAAGAAATAGTTGTGTATATATATATTGTGTGTGGATACTGTCAAGCATCATAAATGAAGTGGAGTTGGGCAGGGTCAGACCTCCCTTCAAGAACAATAATTGAGCTGCAAAATGTTGTCGTGGTGGGTTAGAAGGTGGCATATTTCAGAGTACCAAGGACTTGGAGCTTGTGCACAGAAGTGATTTACTACAGCTTAATGAGATTGTGCATGACAGATAATTCACATGTGCACTTTGAACACACGGCAAATGTGAGAGAACTTGTTAAGTTACAATAACTTACTCATTTGTGTAAGTGCTGAGAACATCTGTAGGCAACCATGACCTCCAGCTTGAAATCAAGGTCTTGATTCCTTTTGTGTGTTGAAGATCCCATGATACTCTTTAAGGATAACTGTAACTCTTTGTGTTTTGGATATATTTCTCTAGTTGTTTATGTTTTCTGTGCAGCTCTGGTTGCTTTTTTTTTTTTTTTTCTTCATTGCCTTCAACTTAACTTGTAAATCCCAAACGTTTTGGTACATTGTCCTGCAAGTTACTGTTCTGTTTGGGAATGCCAAAGGACTGTCTTTTTACAATGCAGATCTCAGATGTGTAACTTGATGTTTCATGAAATATTTCAAAATGTTGCACTAATGTAGATTATTGCTTTCTGTGAACTCAGGTGACCGGGTCATAGACGTAGGGTCAGAGTGGAGAACTTTCAGCAATGACAAAGCAACAAAAGATCCATCTCGAGTCGGGGATACCCAGAATCCTTTGTTGAGTGATGGAGACTTGAGTACAATGATTGGCAAGGTAACATTTAAAATACTAAATTTTACTAAGTTTGAGTGTTTTTATGTCAAGTACGTGTTTGTATGTCCATAAGGAAACTATTCAGAGAATGTATTTACAAAGAGATTTTGTCTAAACTGAACTCTTATGTTTCAATGGTGTTGGCTCTTTCCTGGGGGTAGCAGGAAAGGGCTGACCTCTTCAACAAAAGAAAAGTTTGCAGTGCTGTGGGGTTACTTGCCACTCTTTGGTATGCTACTGTAAATAGAAAAGCTGACGTTGCAATCTTTCAAGAACACTTTGACTTAGTATGTGTATTTGAGATGATTCTGAAACAACAGATACCTAGTTTTGAGGTCTCAATAGCTAGTGTTGCCCAACTTTGAACTATGATTTTTTTTTGTAATAAAATCTGTATCAGACTCATATGGGAGACCTCGAGATCTAGATGCGTGTTGTACATAGTCTTCCAGTTAATGTTAAATGTAGAATTACTTCATGGTATGAGTGCTCCAGAAGAAAGTATTCAATGTATATTTGAGTTGAAATTTAGTGGTACAGCCATATCCTGCTGCTTCCCATGAGAGAGGATGCAAGATTAAGCATGCAAATGCACTCCCTTTAATGAAGTAGTGACCCGGGTAAGTTTTCATTGTTGTACTTTGTTATATTTTTTTACTGCAAGATCCAAATTGATTTTTGTGGATTTCTTGAATGTTTCTTGAAAGGTGGTCCAGTTGCTGAAAAATAACTATTAAAAAATGTATTGCTGCTTTGTATGTTGCAGTACGTGCACACCAGGATTTCTCAGAAGCTTTTGTTCTAGTGATGTTGCTAGGATGAAGAAGCAGACATACCTAAATATGTATGGATACGTATAAGGGAGTGTGCACCATACTTTTCAACCAAGAGTTCTTCAAAGAGATGAAGTCGACTAGTGAATACTGATATGGACAGCTAACCTTTTACCATTGGTGAAAAAGAAACCTTCTGTTCAAAGGATTGTCTGAGTAGATGCTTGTGTTTTGGACAACTCCAGGCATTGTTGCCCACCAGATTTTAGGATGCCTTATGGTGGCTTTTGGAATCTGTTCGGACAAAAAAATTTCTGCGCTGTTTCCCTAAAAAAGTTGGCATGGCTAAGTAGCTCTAGGAGAGCAGTGCTGTAGAAATCACTGGAGTTTTAGTGTCACCTGTATAGGTCCAGAAAGATTGTAGTTCTCAGGGCTTGGATTTCTGTTACTGATTTCGTCAGCTATGATAAAGGTAAGAAATGCACCTTTGTAGACAGATGGAGAAATGGACTGTTTGCTCCAGGTTCACACTGTTGTCTCGTTTTGGGACTGTGAATACAGGTTTTGCTCAGTTTGATTCAGTAGGTAGGATGACCTTGTGAGCTCTTTTAGAACCTGCATGTTGGAAAAGACGAAAGGTATTTCAGCTGAAGATAGAATTTGTATCCAGGTGAACAGTGACTTACGCTGTTAACCCTCTTATCTCAGGTTCAGATCCTCATTTAGAGTAAGAGGGATAGCAGCCTCAGTGAGAGAATTAAAGATGTAAAGAAACGTTTGTGAAAAGTTTGTTTTTCAATGAAAACTAAAAGTTTTCAGAGATGGACATTCATCTAATGAAACAATTTTGCTGTTAATGAGAACATTCCAGAATAGGCATGACTGTCAGTGTGGCATCATTTAACCTATGAGAACTGTGAGTAAAAATGTCCAAGTACTGGAACTGCCAGGATCGTGTTGGAGAATGTAGAGGGGGTAGTCTGTCTTACTGTGGATATTTTATTTGCCTGGGGAGGAATCACAGAAGAGACACGTTATTTTCTACAGGAAATTGGGAATCTCTTTGACAAACCAGGATGTGTTCTGGACAAGAGTTCCTGTGTTTGTCTTGTCAGTGAGCAGGGGCTCTGGGATGTCAGCTCATTGATGTGAACTCTGTATCAGGAACTGCATTTTTCCTCAGTCATTTGGAAGGAAGAGAATGGCTTATATCGGAAGATGCTGAAGAAATTTCCGATCGCTGCAGAAGGGGCATGAATTTTGCAGCAAAAATAACTAAACCAAGGAAGTAGTACATTTCTCAAGCAGTTTTCTGAAGTCACTGCCAGCAGTAAGCTGGGATGAGGGTTGACCTAGATATGCACAGTGGTTGAACAAGGGTGAAATCAGTGTAGTCATGAGGAAGGTAAGTAGTAGCCGACAAAGTACAGAACAACCTTCATGAATTCCAGAGAATGAAGCAGGATAAGATTTTTTTCTCGGTTAACAACAGTTCCTAGAGTGGCCTGGCCTGGACCCCAGATTTGTGTGCCAGAGATTGCTTTAGCCTTTTGCATGGGACAGGGAGCAGAGGTATTCCTTTCTGCTTGAGGCAGAGTTGCAGATAATAGAATCTTTCAAACAAAAAACCACCCTGCTC